CTCTGGACCAACAGTTAGGACCAATTTGCATGGAACCGACCTAGGCCCTCTGCATGCATATAATAATTGTGTAGATTGGTGTGTTTGTAAGACTCCTGTCAGGGAGTTCTGGACCTCTCCCTGGTGCTTAGCTGGCTTTTGTGAACCTGTTCCCCATAGTGGATTACCTTTCCCAACTTCGATGCAGGGGGAGGAGCTCAGTCCTAACTCAACTTGATGTGCCATATTTTGTTCAAGCCCATGAGGGCTTGCCCCTTTCTGAATGAAAAAGTAGGAGGGCAGAATAGTAAAGGAGCAAATGTGAGTCAATGGAGGAAATGGGATTAGAGGAGGGAGCAGAAACTACAGTCAGTATGTATAATAATGAAAAAATTAAATTAAATTAAATTAAATTAAAAAAAAGGAAAATGGTCCCCAAACAAGTGACATTATTAGGAAATGAGGGTTTGTTGGAGTAGGTGTGGCCATGCTGGAGGATGTGTGTCACTGTAGGGATGGACTTTGAGGTCTCCTATGCTCAAGCTACTCTACCAGTGAGACAGTCTACTTCCTGTTTTCCCGCATATCAACAGTATCAGAAGTTTCATCCATTATCATCATGGCAGGAAGCATAGCAGCACTCAGGCAGGCATGGAGTTGGAAAATTCTACATGGACTGAGAATTCTACATTTTGGTGTGCAGGCAGAAGAAGTGACTGTATCTTTAGGCCTAACTTGAGCAAAAGAAACTTGAAAGTCTGCCTTCATAATAACACACTTCTTCCAATAAGGCCACACCTACACTTTCAATGTCAAACCTCTTAATAGTGCCATTCTCTAGGAGCCATGTGTCTTTGGGGACAATTCCTATTCAAACCACAACAGGGGATGTCATCTGTTTTGACAGCAATATTTTAAGATGAGGGAATATTCTATCCTTCTTGAATTATAAAGATAAATAATAAAATGATGTCCCTGCAGAGAGATCAGAAAATCTTTTTCTTCTTTTCTTTTCTTTCCTTTTCTTTTCTTTTCTTTTCTTTTCTTTATTTCTCTTTATTTTTCTTTCCTTCTTATTTTCTTTTTTTTTTTTTTTTTTGATTTTTAAAGACAGGTTTTCTCTGTCACTTTGGAGTCTGTCCTGGAACTCACTCTGTAGACGAGGCTGGCCTCAAACTCACAGAGATCCAGAGATCCACCTACGTCTATCTCTCAAGTGCTGGGATTAAAGGTGCATGCCACCACTGTCTGGCCACCTTTTATTTTAAACCTTGTTCAGGACTCATTTCATCTACTGTTTGCTGTTGTTCTTCATAGTTTAATTTTGGAAGTGTTGTGTCTCTTTGCTCCTCAGTTTTGTCTTAACAAGAAGTTGTCCTGTCCAGCTTCCCAAAATGTGTTTTGACTTATCGGCACCTTGGCAAATTTCTTTATCAGGAGAAAATAGAGTGCTAAGGTAGGGCCATGTTTTCCAATAAATGATCAATGATTTTTAAATGAAAACCTGTTGCTATTGTGCCCACTAACTCTGAATGTGCATTGTCTGAGTTTGAGACTGGACCTGGTAGACTGTAGCCATGAAGTGTTTATGTCTCACTTATGGATTTATTTTTTTAATCGGGAATGTTTTTTATAACAATATCGTGGGAGGCAGGTAGATACATTCTCTGAAACTGCTGTAAAATGTGACACATGGTATAGTATAGCAGAAGGATATAGAGACAATTAAGCTGACCTCTGAGGAGCGAATCAGAATTCTCCAGCGGCTGCTTTAAATAGGAGAAGGAACCGTTGCTGGTGGCAGTTGCCATGAAGCCTCTAGAGTCCTCACTACAACGGAGAGTAAGTCTTGAAGAATGAATGACTGCTTCTGTTGAGGACATTGAAAATCCGAGGATTTAACGGATACTCACTCATAGGTAAATTACAGTAGTCTCTTTAAATAAGTTAAACTGGAGTTAAATGGCCAGGGCATAGGGATTAATCTATGATCTTCCTGAACGAACAGTGAGTTGTTTTGAATCGATCGCGAGTGGCATGTGTTTCTTTCGAGGTGGCGGTTTCTGGAGAGATAGTGTTTTCTCCTGAGGTGGTGCTAGCTTCAATTATGTGACTAGGTATTTCCTACTCTTTCTTTAATGTTCTCCATACATCCTTCCTCCTCCTCTTCAAAGATTTATAGTTCTGAGAAGGACTTGGGATGTTTCCACAGCTTTGGTATGAGGATTTGGAATTTTTCTTCAACCCGGGATAATGCACTGAGATGTCTTTTATATGCAAGTCCTTTAAAACTGTATGATTGGGGGAGGGGGAGGGAAATGGGAGGCGGTGGCGGGGAAGAGACAGAAATCTTTAATAAATAAATAAATTTAAAAAAAAAGCTGTAAGGACTGGACTGAGTAGATGTGTGTTTTTCTTTCTACAATATTTATTTTAACTTGGTTTTCATGTCCGAAGAGCAAATAAATGGTCATGTACCTATGTATCATAACTGTTATAGATGAGTGTGATTTCATTTAGTATAATGAGCTCTGAAACTTTGTAAATGCATTGGAACTTTGTCAGACACTGTTGCTATGTAATGGCTCACTGACCTTTATGATCCTTGATTCTGTATCCATAGTGATGGCATTACAGTTGTGTATCTCAGAACATGACCCATTATTATCCTTTAGATTATAAAATGATTTTAAGCACACAAGAAAATGTTCACCCAACTTTGCCTAGCATAATTAGGAAGCTAAAAATTTAACAGAAAGAAAATCAACATTGCTGAAGTGATAAGTTAATTGCATATTTCATTTGAATTTGATGATTTATTCAAATAATATTGTCATTGTTATCCAAGATTCCATTCAAGACACCTCAGTGAATTAAGTCATCATTTTTCCAAAGTCAATTCTAGTAGGACAATTCTTCAATCTTCACTGGACTTTGAAAACACAACGTATTTGAAGATTCTTTTTTTTTTTTTTTTTTTTGGTTTTTCGAGACAGGGTTTCTCTGTAGCTTTGGTGCCTGTCCTGGAACTCGCAGAGATCCGCCTGCCTCTGCCTCCNTATGCAAATTCAATATAATTGAAGATTCTTGGTAAGGGATAGTTTCCAAATTCCTTTCAATTTGGGTATTTCTCACAAAATTTCTGTGTAGTACATGCAATATTGTAGTGTTTTTACAACACATATGCACATATATCTATATTTCATTACATCTAATCAATATATGTAAGAAAAGTTAAATGTGAACTGATAGGGTGGAGTAAAGGAATTATAAAAGAATGAAGATGGGTAGAGAACAAAAGATTATAATCAAGTCAATTTAAGTAAGGAACCATTATCTATCTATCTATCTATCTATCTATCTATCTATCATCTGTCTGTTTATATGATATTACATATATGTGTGAATAGGTATTAAGTATATTACTGAATATGAGAAAACACATGTTATATTTGTCTTGATGACATTCTCAACATCATTTTGTAGCTCTACCTTTTCCACACATTAACCTCAACATTTGTTATTTCTTCTCTTAATTTTCCCCTCCCTAATTGGAGAAGCTATGATTTCAGTATGTTTTTAATGAACATTTATCTAACAGATAAGTTTAGCATATTGAATCCATGTATTGGCCATTTGTATTCCTGTGAGAACTGCCCAGTGCATTTTCTACTTTTATTTGGTGATTCCTGCACTTGATGAGTAGATTTCGAGTTCTTTATAGAGTGTACATATTAAACATGTCAGATGTATAGTGGGAAAGCATTGGTGTCATTCTGATGTCTGCCTCGTCACAGTTACTTATTTCTTTTGCTTTGCAGAAGCTTGTTTATTTCATGCAATCTCACTCATGAATTCTTGTTATTTTCTGAGCTTTTTTCACTGTCTGTTTTCAGAAAGGTTGTGGTATAGTTATATCTTCAAATGTTTTCCTCATGTTTTGTTACAGAGATTTGAATGTGTCCCACCATATATTAGGATCTTTGATCTATTTTGAATTAGTTTTGGAGGTGTGAGGGACAGGAATGAATGACCATCCATTTAGGTTTAGGTAACCAATTTTACCAGATCCATTTGTTGAAGCAGTTTTCCTCAATGTTTGGATCTTTTGGGTTCTTTAGAAATACGTAAGTGGTTGTGGCTGTACAGTTTTATTTCTCCTTTCATCCATATCATTTGAAATTGGTGTGTTTTCACATGTCATAAAGGTGACTAAATTTGGCAAGTCATGTATAGTGATATTTTGCTGATGATCTAACAAATAAAGCTTGGCTGAAGATCAAAGTGCAATGCTAGCCACAGTAATCAGTCATACAGGCCAGGAAGTAGTGGCACACACCTTTAATCCCCGCACCCACACTAGTTAGCCTTAGAGGCCAGGCAGTGGCAGCAAACACCACTAATACCAACACTAGAGAAGAATATAAGGCAGGATGAGACAGGAACTCACTCTCTTTTCAGTTTGATTATTTCATACAGTTAAGAGCTCTACAGTGGTTGGCTTCTCTCGGATGTTCAGATAAGCTTTATTTGGTAGATCAAACTAAATATAACTATAGTCAGAGGCTATAATGTCATTTTTCTTCTTTAATCCCGGTTAATTTGATGTCTTAGCATTTTCTGTTTCCAAGACAATGATGATACTTTCACTTTTGTATAGATTTACCATTTCTTTTGTGATGGCTTATACACTATTGACATCAAATATCAGGAGTTGGAATCTAGGTGACCAAAAGTGACTTCTGCCCACCTAGTCCTAATTTCTATTCACATATACATATTTATCTGCTCATAAATATGTAAAGGGGTTTGTTATGTGTTTATTCATATTCAAATATACCTTAATACACTCAAAAAACAATTTCTTCTGCCTATAATTAGAGCTATCTAGAAGTGGCTATTTTACCATTTATTTATTCTACAAATAGTTATCTATAGTGCCAACATTTGCTGCAAAGAAGACTCTGTGCATATCTATCAAGTTTTCTAAATGTTTCTCACCCTCATGCAGGTTCATTAAGATGGACAACAAGAAACCAAACATACTCCTGGATCTTGCTATACAACAACTCCTAAGTAATGAGTCTGCAGCCATTCATGCTCTTGAGGTGATCCCAAGGGAGCTTTTTGTTCCACTCCTCTCTGCTGCATTTAAGGGTGTGCATAAGAATATAGTGAAGGCAATGGTGACAGTTTGGCCCTTTGCCTGTCTCCATATTGGCACACTAACTGTGCAGGGACCCCATCGTGAACTCCTGACAACCATGGTGAAATGTCTTCAGTTTATACCTGTCCAGGACTCAGGTTCTAGGTAAGACTATATAATAGAAACATGTTAAGACACAGGAGGTTACACCACAGCCTGTTACTCTTTCAAAGGTAATACGTGCACATAGTGATAAAGAATGTGGGACTGTTAGTCCAATACCTGAGGTCACTTTGAAAACAAGTGTCTTACAATATTGGATATGGAATGTATGTGACTGAGCACACTGTTGACAGATTTGTATTGCAGTGTTATTATTTCATAGACAAAAGACATGAGTGCTAAGACTGCTGAGGATTGGTGGCAAAAAAGAGAAAAATAATGTGTGCTGTTCAGTGATAATTTTTTCTGTTGTTCACTGTTGTCTCCTCAATAAATGGGCAAAAGAAGACACTGACAGCAATGATAAAGACTCAACCCTGTTTTGTCTCCACATTAGAAAATTAAGCATACAAGAAATACAGGGAACTGAAAGACATGATTGATGGTCTACAGGTGTTACTGCCAAGAACTCAGCTTTTCAATAGTAATGTGTATAATACGTATATTGTAAGAGAGCAAAACATTATCCTGGAACCTGTTGCAAGAGAGGACCAGATAATCTCCCAACGTTAGCTAATAATGAATACAGAAAATTAATGTAAGGGGGTTGGTACATCAGTTGAGGTTATCTTAAAAACTCTGATGTCTTACAGAGGGCTTTAATTTTGTAGTAGAGGTGAGTAATGCTACTGTTGACATATATATATATATATATATATGATTCATAGATGAATTCCAAGACATTATAAGAATTAATTAATTATAGAAAACAGTAAAGGATATGATATTTGCATAACAAAGTCTTGCTGCTAGCCAATGTATGGAATGACAGAAAGAAAAACAAAGATAATTTTGTCACTCCATGTTGTCATTGATGTTACTTGGTTATATTAATGTTTCTATCTCATAGTCGTCTGTGTTCTCTTTTCAATACAGGAGCCCTAAACTGAGGATCCTAGATTTAAGGGAGAATTCTGGCTGCAAGATCGTCTGCCCAGAGATCGGTACTAAGTCACCTGCATGCATGTTCTCCTGTGCTCACTCAGAGCACTCAATCTTGAAGATGAGGGCCCAGCATAGTATTGCAAGTTCAGAACATGAGGTTCAGGCCCATAATCAGGATATGGAAATAATAGTAAACATTTCTCTCAGAAGCGGTAATATCTTAAGAGAACGTGGATATTTGGCTCTGCTTCTAAATAAAGTGGAACAGAGTTCAGGTTCTTTGCACCTGTGCTGCCGAGATTTGGAAATCGAGAAATTGGGTGTTTATAATAGAAACAACCTGAACCGTTTAGATTTCAAATGCCTTGATCACCTGTCAGTATTTAAGGGTACTCTGAGTGAGGTTACCTGCCTTCTTGCTCAGGTGGTGCACCTGAGAAGACTTTGTCTGTCTAAAGTCACTTGTAGCTCTTTAAATGGGAAAGTCTTCCAGAATTTTGTCTCACAGCTTAGGTTTATGGAACATCTTAATGAACTCAACATTGATTCTTTCGACCTCAGAGATCATCTTGAAGCTGTCCTCAGGTAAGGGTACAGGGTAGATACAGGGTTTCCAATAGTAGCCTGCTTTTAAGATTAGAGAGATAATTCTTAGATAGTCTTAAGCTTCCCATAACCCTTTCTCCTTCTGCCTCAGTATGGGCAATGCTGGGAGTTTTAAAACAGCCACGGAATGGTATCTTTCTGTAATTGAATAGAAAAGTGGGGTTACAAAAAGCGTAGTCAGGGGAGCATGTGTAGGCACTGTGCTCATTCCAGAAACATGAATGTCAAAAGAAAAACGCAGCCCTCCTCTGGCCATTGAGACATAAAGAAGGGGAATTGAAAGACTTTATGTTCTGGCACAGGTGCACATATTCATACACTCGTATATGGTAATGTCACATCATGAGGAAAATCTCCAAGGTTCAGACCATGATTAGAGTGGCTGTCTGAAGAAGGACACTTAAAAGGACACACTAGCTCAGAAATGAGTGCAATAGAGAGTTATTTACTTAGAGGTAGACTCACAGATCAAAATCCTCCGCTGGGACAGGAAACAGCAATGGAATCCCAAAGCCTGAAAAGAGGGCGGATGCTTGCTTTACTTGGTATAAATAGTCTTAAGAGGCCACCCACAAGTGGGTGGGTAACTTAAAGGCTACTTGCAGTAGGAATTCCTACAACAGCTGGCATTTATGGACTGGACAAAGGGAGCTTCCAGTTGGCTACTCCTTCTGTCCCCTCTTCTGAGCAAGTGAACTAGCTCCCCATTTGGTTACATTGTAATTCCTAAGTAGAGAGTATTTTCACTAAGTTTTTCACTCAACTTTATAATATGTTATACATATTACCAAGATTAAAACATTATTTTCCAGGGTGGTAAAGTGTCTCTCACAGACCCACAAGTACTTTAAGTGTGTGAAAGCTCATGTCATTTGCTAATGATGTGCAGAACAGTTTGTTCTAGATTCACAGATATAGTTCCCCTCTTCTAGTCCTCATTTTTCAGAAATCATTTTCTGTTTTCTCCCTGCAGAGACCTACCAACCAATTTGGAATTCTTACATCTAACATTCTGTGAACTTTCTTACAATGATTTCAAGTTTCTTGCTGAGTGCCCTCAAGCCAACCATTTAAAGCTATTGAATATCAGCTACAACCCAATGTACTGGGAAGATTGTGAGCCCTTTTGTAACCTCTTGCAGTGTGTCTCTGGAACCTTGCAGCATCTGGAATTTAATCACTGCCTTTTAACTGATTCTGTATTTTCTGGACTTATCCCAGCACTAAGTCAGTGTTCCCAACTCCGAGTGCTCAACTTTTTCTCTAATCCTGTTAGTATGTCCATGCTCATGAGACTCCTTGAGCACTTAACACCCTTGATGGAGCTTAAACACGTGATTTATCCTATCCCTGTGCATTGCTATGGGCGATGGCAAATCCAGGACAGTTTAGATAGGGAGAAACTGGCTAATGTGCAGGCGCAATTGAAACAAATGTTACAAGAGGCAGGGAGGAACGACATGACTTGGATTACTTATCCTGGATAAATTTATGATCCAACACAGTTTCACCTGAATACATATCCTTTAATTATTAAATGTTTCTTTAAAAAATTATGATCCAACACAACTTCATCTTGATATGCTCCCTTTATATACTAAATGTTTTTCTCTTGATTCCATAGACTGAATATATAAGGTTTTAGGGCAGAGAACCCTGATTGCTTTTTGGGCTGACGAGGGAAGGGGACTTGATTGGGGGAGGGGGAGGGAAAGGGGAGGCGGTGGTGGGGAAGAGACAGAAATCTTTAATAAATAAATTAATTAATTAAAAAAATATATAGGCATGTAGCTGATTTCCATAGAGAATAACTTGCAAGCAGATGGAGGACTTTCAGAGATTCTGTTTGTCTCTAGACTGTTGTTCTTGGTAACCCTTCAGTTTTTCTTTATTTCATACTCATTTACCAAAGGTTGGTTTGGGATATTATTGTAAACAGAAAAATAAACAGACAAACAAGACAAGGTTCCTTCTTAAAGCCACTCAGAGACTGAATATTTCTGTGGCTTATCTGTCTCTTCACAGTTTATTAGCACATAGAATGGTTTTGTTTTACCGTCTTGGACCCCATTTTGTTTCCCTTGTTCTTGGTACATGTCCTGCTCAAGGGAAAGCAGACTATGATGTTCAGTCTCGTCTCAGCAGAATTTAAGGTTTCTATGTTTAACCATCTTGGAGGCTTTCTCTCACATCTGTTTGATGTCTGCCTTCTGACATTGTGCAAAATACCTGACATAATAGATTATAGTAAGGAAGAGAAATTTGTTTCCCTGCTTTCGAAGTTTCACCACGCTTGTTTAATTGCTCTGCTTTGGAACTTCAGCAAGGCAGAACATGGGAAAGAGCTTGTGGTGGAGGGTACCCTCTCAATTCACGAAGCATGGAACCAGAGAGAGAAGGAACCTGAGTCCCTATACAACCTTCCGGAGTGAGACTATACTGATCTGCATCCTTGAATTAGTCTGCACTAAAGTTTCTACCACCTGACCTGGAGCCATTGTTGAACTAACCTATTCAAAATTTCAACCACCTGCCATGAGCCATCAGCTTGGGTCTACCTTTTATTATATTAGCTCAGGAAAACATTTAGGACACATGCATAACCCTTCCTTTGTGATACACATGATTCTGTTAGAATGTTCTGCTGCCGATTGTGTACTAAAGTTGCCACAATTGCTATAATATTGTATAGCAAATATGTACATGGAGTATTTTATATTTCACACTAAAATATGATGACCACACAGAGAAAAGCATGTTTGTTGAAGATATTCTGCAAAAGAAGCATATAAATCCAACTAATTAGTAATGTATTTATGTTCTTAATGTGTTGAAATGGGAAAACACTGGAATTGCAAGGACATAGCAAAAGTGTAAAAAATTTGGTTTCTTCCTGTCCTATGGTGAAATGTCAACACCACTGCATTTTCATTACTTACTAAGGAAATAAAGCAAAAATAACCATTTATTCAGTTTTTTGAAATAAATCTAGTTAAGAAAAAAACAAAACAATAATGTGTTTGTATTGTTCCAATTTATAAATGATAGCATACTGGATTTCAGATCAACCAGGCAAAAATAGAGCTAAAAGTTGCAGAATTTTGTTCATAGTTTTAAATATGGAGATGATATTGAACTTTATTTTAGAGATATAAAACATGAAAATGCACCTACAAAAGTAAAGTTTGTATGATTACATTTATAACGATAGATTACTGAAGTCAAGAAGATATCAGTAAAAACCACATGCACTAGTCTGGTATATTATTTTTTGAACTCACATATATGTGATTTTATCAATAACATTGTTAAGAACATATGCAACATATATGTTAAAAATTATTGATTCAAATTCAGAAGGAACATGGCAATATCAAATTTCAAATCAGTTTGACCAAGGTATGGAAACACATGCATTTAATCCCAGTACTTGCTAGTCTGAGGCAGAGACATGCCTGTGAGTTCAAGGCCAGGCTGTTCTACATAGTGCCAACCATGGGTCTATACTAAGACCTTGTCTCAAAAATATTTGAATAGGAATACAATATTTGATTAACTTCTGTATTCATTCTTCAATATTTTTAATTCATTTATTTTTTATTACTTTATAAATAATACCAACCAAAATTTCACTTCCTCACCTCCTCCCACTTCCTTCCCACTCCCCCACATACCCTGCTCCCCTCCCTCTCCTGTCCTGAGAGAAGACAAGGTACCCTGTCCTTTGGGAAGTCCATTGCCCTCCCCCCCTCCATCCAGGCTTAGGAAGGTGTGCATCCAAACAGATTAGGATCCTAAAAAGCCAGTACATGCAGTAGAGACAAATCCCAGTGCCATTATCATTGGCTTCTCAGTTTGCCCCAATTATCAGCCACATTCAGAGGGTCCACGTTGATCCCATGCTCATTCATTCCCAGTCCAGCTAGATTTGGTGAGCTCCTATTAGAACAGGAACACTGTCTCAGTGGGTGGACCAACCCCTCCAGGTCCTGACTTCCTTGCTCATGTTCTCCCTCCTTCAGCTCTTCAACTGGACCATAGGAGCTCACTCCAGTGCTCCAAAGTGGGTCTCTGTCTCTATCTCCATCCATTGCCTGATGAAGGTTCTATGGTGATATTCAAGATATTCATGAGTCTGACTACTGGAAAAGGCCAGTTCAGGCACCCTCTTTTCCACTCTCCAGCATCCTAGCTGGGGTCATCCTCATGGACTCCTGGGAACCCCTCCAGAGCCCAGCCTCTTGCCAACCCCGAAATGGCTCCCTCAATTAAGACATCTTTTTCCCTGCTCCCATATCCATCCTTCTTTCATCTCAACCATCCCACTACCCCAAGCTCTCTCCAATACTCTCCTTCTGTGGAGTAAGGGGAACACTCATCCATTGCTGGTGGGAATGAAAACTTGTGCAACCACTTTGGATATCAGTGTGGCAGTTTCTCAGAAAATTGGGAGTCAACCTATGTTGAAATAGGAGCGGCAGGGCTATGTCCCCGGCACCCGGCCGCCCGCATGGCTAGCTTATGCCCGAAATAATTACACGGAAACTGTATTCTTTCAAACACTGCCTGGCCCGGCTAGTTACAGTTTCTTATTGGCTAGCTCTTACATATTGTTCTAACCCATTTCTAATATTCTGTGTAGCCCACGAGCTGGCTTACCAGGGAGGATCTTAACCTGCGTCTGTCTGGAGCGGGAGAACCATGGCGACTCTCTCACTAAGCTTCTTTCTCCCAGAATTCTCTTCTGTTTTCTCCACCCACCTAAGGGTGGGCCTATCAAGGGGCCTAGGCAGTTTCTTTATTAATAAGAAATCACTCCCACATCATTTCCCCTTTTTCTGTTTAAACAAAAAAAGAAAGGCTTTAACTTTAACATAGTAAAATTACATATAACAAAACAGTTATCAAGCAAGAATTACAGTTACAATATTTATATCTATTTTATCTCTTATCATAACTAAGGAAAACTATAACTAAC